TTAATATTAAACTAACAGTTAACAGTCACCTGTTAATTAACTGTTAATTAACTGTTAACTGAATGTTTTATAACTGTTATTTTAATATTAAACTAACTGTTAACAGTCACCTTTTAATTGAACTTTTAATGAACTTTATGAAGTTTTTACATCACTTCAGCTGTTTTTAACTTCCTGTTTGACAGCTGAACTCAGGAAGTCTCATCTTCCAACCAGGGAACATTTTGCAGAGAACCTCCATGACAGCGTCACCAGTTTTCACACCACACTTCGGTTCTTCTCATGGTGGCTGTGTCACTTATCCACTGAGCCACTCTAACAAACAGCAGTTCTTCTATTTTATCTTCTAATGATGTCCCTATTGAGTTTGCCGATTCCTACAAATATTTGGGTATCTTGGTCGATTCTCGCCTCTCCTTTAAGCTCAACATCGAAAACTTGGTAAAGAAATTGAAAGTTAAACTGGGTTTCTTTTTTATAAATGGCTCTCGTCTAACTCTGAACGATAGGAAACATCTTGTAACTGCAACTTTCTTTCCCTCCATTGATTACAGAGACATTATTTACATGAATGCTCCTACAAGCACCCTGCAGATGTTGAACACTGTCTATCACGGTGCATTAAGATTCATAACTGGCTGTAACTACCGTACCCACCACTGCACCCTGTATTCACTGGTTAACTGGTCATCATTAACTTCACACAGACTCTCTCACTGGTACATTTTCATCTTTAAATCACTTCTTGGTCTGCTGCCTTCATACATCTCCTCCTACATATCACAGCATGAGTGCAGGTACAGCGTGCACTCTCAGGACATCATTACCTGCAGTGTTCCTTCAGTGAGGACTGAACTTGGCAAAAGGTCCTTCTCCTACTCCGCGCCTGATTCCTGGAGTATTTTGTAAAAAGACCTGAAGCTCTCGAACTTGACCTCTCTAAGTGGCTTCAAACATCTGTTAAGTTCCTGGGAAAAAACAACGCAGACATGTTCCTGTTTTTAGTATTTTACATTGTTTTATAATGTAGCCGTTTTTGTTTTATTTCATTTCTTCCATTTACTTTTCATTTTATTTGCTTTTATATGATCGTTGTTGTCTGTACCTCACCTGTGTTCTTTGTTTAATCAGGTCACTCTTGTAAATGAGTCCTCGAGGCTCAGTGAGACTAACCTGTAGAAATAAAGGCTGAATGAATGAAAGTGTTCAGGCCCGTTTGGACCCGTTAGATGGAGCCTGCATGGTGGTTTTGCAGACTCAGCTCTGAGACGTTCCTGCTCTCCTGACAGGTTCACATCAGAAAGAACTTGTGGTGTTTATGATGCGTTCACTGACGATGTGTAAATTTGAACAATTTCACATGATCTTTACACGTCCTTTTTGTAAACCAACACTAATTCAAACTTCCAGTTACCCTGAAATAATTACGAAGAAACAAGAGTTAAACGGATGCTTCACGTTTCTGCGCTGTAATAAAAGTTTTTTAAGGAATGCTTATCGCCCGCCAACATAACGCCCGAGTTTTAAACAGAAATGTTCAAAAAAAATTTAGCATCCAGACAGTGCAATGGGGAAGACTCTGATTAGCTGTGGCGGCCATCTTGACTCAGGTTGACTTCACATGTTAATCCGTTACTTTCTTTCACTAAAAGGTTCAGGAGATATTTTGCTAACAGACAAACAGACTCAGCCCTGCCCTCCTTTCATGACAGCAGGTGATAATTGAAGCTGTTTTAAAGGAAGTTTAAACCAAAGTGGAATTCTAAAAGAATAAACGTTTGTGTCTGAGAGCATCAGAAATATTAAACTTTGTTTTTTTTGTTTTTTTTATTACTCTAACATTGTTGCTTTAATTAAATATAAAAACAAGCAGGACAACAAAACTTTTATAAACGTTAGAAAACCAAGATTCTCTGAACTCAACGTTTCTTTGATCAAAGATCAAAGGATGAAAGTCATAAACAGGAAGTCTGATAAATAAAGTAAAGTAAACTTTTACCTCTTGATCTGTTGGTGCTGCTCGGACTCCACTCGGCGGTTCCTGTGGACCCAGGAGAAGACCAGCTCAGTGAAGATGGATGAAGGTTCTGGGCCTGCAGCGGGTCAGAACATCTACTGGAACCAAACTCCCGCCATGTCGCTCCAAATCTTCTTGATCTTCTCACAGAGGACTATTCTGTCATCGCTGCTCCCGGGCCACTCCCGGGTCCCGTACTCACAGAACAGAGTGCTGACTCGGTACCACAGAGGTTCTGCTGCTGCGAGGTGTGTGGGTCGATCAGCAGTCGGCCCGGCAGAACTTCACCTCCAACCAATCAGGAGGAGGAGCGGCGCCGGCTGCAGAGAGCTGCAACCGTCTCCACATCCTCCCACCTCCACACAGGAAACCACACCTCCTCCACCTCCTCAGACCTGCTGAGGAGACCCGCCAGCTGCCGGGTCTGAAGGTTCTGTAAGCAACCAACGGGATCCAGGAAACTGGACTGAGACCAGGACTGCTCTGCAGGTGACCCTGCACCTGGACTTGCTGCTTCTTTGACTTCGATGTTTTTAAATGTTTTAAAGTTTTTAAATTCTTAAACCAGCTCAAAACTAAACTCTAAAGTCTGGTCTGAAGATCCAGAATCCAGCTTTAAACAAAGGTTCTGACAAAGACACAAACCAGTCCAGAACCAAGTACTGGAAACTCTAAATCCAGTCTTGAAGGTTCTGTGAAACACGTTAAAATCACCTGTGAATCCAAGTTCAAAACTAATCAGAACCAAAAATAATTAAACTGAAAGTCCTGGTTCTGATAAACCGGTCCAAAACCAGGTCCTGGAAAAGTCCAAATCCAGTCTGAAAGGCTGCACTAAACCCGACCGACCCTAATCCGGTTCTGTTCAACTTTTACTTCATTACATTTTAAAAGACAGACCGAGTCGGACCGAGCTGTGGGCCGACCCGGTCCAAACCAAAGAGCACTTTAATCAGCATGATGCTGCCTCCACCGTGCCTCAAAGCTGCCGCCGGACAAACAGCCGCAAACACAAAATATCTTAATTCTTTACCTCTAATTTCATAAACCACCAAAATGTAAATATGAATTTAAATATCTGAACATAAATTCGATGTCACAACTATTTTAAATATTTCATGTGAAATATTGAGACTAAATATGAATATAAATATTTAAAGTACTTTCACCAAACTGGTTATAGTTCAATTCAATTCAGTTTATTTATAAAGCTCCAAGTCACAACAGAAGTCGTCTCAGGACACCGAACAGAAACATTCATATATGAAAATAATAATTTAACATTATTTATCTGAGGAGCAGACTGCTTTGAATTTAACTCCATCACAGAACGCTCATCTTGAGCAAGCATGAAGGCGACAGTGGAAAGGAAAAACTCCCTCATGAGGAAGAAACCTTTAGCAGAACCAGGCTCAGGACAAGTGGTCACCTGCTTCGACCGGCTGGGTTTGGTAGGAACAGATACACAATGGCAGGTCAAGAATCACGTTAAGATAGAAATAGCATCAAATGAAAACTATTCAATTTTAATCTAAAAAAAGTTAAGTCTGGTCCTCTGGACATTCAAAAAACACAACAAAGCAAAACAAACAAAAGAAAAAAATGTAGAAACGTTTCGTCTTTCGGATGAAAGGTCCAGAGGACCAGACTTAACTTTTTTAGATTTTTCTACCTGGATTATGGAGCATGCATCAGGATATTCAATTTTAACAATTAATTTAAGGAAATGAGACCAATTTGTCCTCTAATAGTCTAAGCCTATAGCAGCATAACAAGCCAACTCTAACTATAGGATTTATCAAAAAGGAAAGTCTTAAAACTGGACAATGTGTCAGCCTCACGGACAGAAACTGGAAGTTGGTTCCACAAGAGAGGAGCCTGATAACTGAAAGATCTTCCTCCCATTCTGCTTTTGGAAACTCTAGGAACCACAAGTAAACCTGCAGTTTGAGAGTGAAGTGCTCTGTTAGGAAAATATGGAACAATAATATCTGTAACATAAGATGGAGCTAGGTTGTTGAGAGCTTTGTAGGTTAGACGTAAGATTTTTAATTCTATTCTGGACTTGACAGGGAGCTAATGGAGAGAAGCTAAAACTGGAGAGATGTGATCTCTCCCATTAACTCCAGTTAAGACTCTGGCAGCAGCATTTTGGATCAACTGAAGACCCTCTCAGTTTCAGATTTTATTTTGTGTCGTTGAATAAATGAGTTTTCTTCATGAAGTTCAAACATGTTTTATTGTTCATAAAACAAATTATTAATAATAACTGGTTTAAAGCATTTTGTTAAATTAACGCAGAAATAAACGTAAACAGATTCACACCCGGAAGCGTGTGTAAATTAAACGTTTCAGCTGTTTAATAAAGTTTTAAAACACAAACACTCAGCTGACCCGACCGGACCAGAGTCCACATCTCCTCCAGCTCAAACCCTCCTTTAAAAACAGAACCTGTGTCTGAGGCGGCCCGGCGGCCCGGTCGGACCTCTGGAGCAGAATTCAGATCAGAACGCTGGACACGGAAACCCGAGTTGACCTCCCACTTTTTGGCACGACAAATGGCTCGTCAGCTGTAAACAAAAACAAAAACAAGTTTGTTTATTCAGCAGGCATGTTTGAGTCCAGTTCTGGTTCTGGTCTGCAGCTGAAATAAACTAGAGATGATGTTTTTTTAAAAAGTCTTTAAACTTTACAAAATTTTTACAAACTTGTTTCTTCTTATCTAAACTGGTCTTTCTGTCTCCTTCCAACCGTGTCTGTGCTGCAGGACAGACTCAAAGGTCAAAGGTCACAAGTTAGGGAGGGTTAGAGGTCAAAGGTTAGGGGTCAGATGTAAGATATTAGGGGTCAATGGTCAGAGGGTCAAAGGTCACAAGTTAGGGGGCCAGCTGTCAATGGTTAGGGGGCCAGAGATCAGACATTAGGGGGTCAGGGGTCAAAGATCAGAAGTTAATGGGCCAAAGGTCAGACTTTAGGGAGCCAGAGGTTGGGAGGTCAGGGGTCAAAGGTCACACACCAAAACTCTCACCAACTTCCATAATGCATCATTGCTCAGTGTTTTCTTTCTAACTTGTCATATGCCTGTGGTACCATTAGATCTTTCTGCTGCTAACGGGTCAAGAGGTTCTGATCCGACTGTTTGTCTGAGGCTCATTTTTCCCGTTGCTTCTGTCAGGCAGGCCGCCTCTCTTCCTGTTTTTAAGTCTCATTTAAAAACACATTTTTATTCCCCAGCCTTACACCATGTGTGAGCAGATTTGAACTTTGCTGTGTTTTCATTATTTTACTCGTTTATTATCTGTATCTCTGTGTTTTCATTATTTTACTCGTTTATTATCTTTACCTCTGCATTT